TTCCGATCTATGATGATGATGATGGTAATGATGATGATGACGATATGACAGGGTCTCCCTAGTTCCAGCCTGCCTGGAACTCACTATGGAGACCAGGCTAGCTTTTAACTCAGAGACCTGCCTGCCTCTGCCTGCCGGGTGCTGGGATTAAAGGCGTGTACCGCCACTCCTGGCTCCCCTGGCTCCCCTGGCATTTTTGAACAGCAAATGTCACCCAATGATTTTGAAACACTCAAGTATGTGGAGTAGCTCATGAGCATGGAATGCAAGGCCCTGAGAGTCTGCCTCTCTAAATCTCTTTGGTCTTGTCTTCCACTACAATCCCTGTTGTTCTGTCAGCTACACCCACACTGACCTTTCAACACAGAGTGTGGCATTCTGCCTCCCACCACAGGGCCTTTGTACATGCCGTTCTCAGTACTTGTAACTTGTCCCTCTCACATTCACCTAGTTAACTCTTACCAATCCTTCTCTTAGCTGTTACTTTTTCAAAGCAAAGGCTTTCCTAGGACCAACCAAGAAACATTTCTCCACTTAATTTTTATAACACAACATACCTGTCTCTAAGGGAAAGTTATAATTATTTGTTCATTTTACATTAATGATATTTAGTATGGCTTTTCTTTCACCAGGCTTTATACTTCCCAAGGATAGATTCGTGTGTGTGTGTGTGTGTGTGTGTGTGTGTATATGTGCTTGTTCATATGTATGTACATTTACATGTTTTGTACATGTGTGTGTGTGCATTTGCATGCATGTATAGGTCAGAGGACACCCTTAGGTGTGGTTCTTCAGGAGCCATTCATCTTGAGTTCTTTTTGTTTGGTTTGGTTTTTTTTGAGACAGGGTCTCCCTGTAGCCCCAGCTGGCCTGGAACTCACTATATAGACCAGGCTGGCCTCGAACTCACAGAGATCTGCCTGCCTCTGCCTCCCGAGTGCTGGGATTAACGGCATACACCACCTTGTTTTGAAACAGGGTCTCTCAGTGGCCTAGAGGTCAACAGGTAGGCTAGGCTTTTTGGAATTACAAGCAAACACTACCATACCTGACTTTTCACTTGGATTCCAGGGGCTAAACTCAGGTCCTCGTGCTTGTGAGGCAAGCACTTTACCAATGGAACCATCTCCTTAGCCCAAGGTTTGTCTTTAATTTGGTCTCTAATACGTAGCATACACATAGCTTTTTGATCACGGGTCAATAGTGATTTGCTTAACCGGTTTCTCTGTTTATTGAATGCACCCATGCCTGATAAACCTATCTCACAACTCCTCCAATATGGTTTGGAGTCCTAAGACTGCATTCCTAATCCTGAGACTTTGCGAGACAAATCATTAGAGAGAAATTCATAAAATAAGATTTCATGGAATTAATCACCATCGCTAACTTCCAGTTGCACAGCACTTACATGCTCGGATTTAATGCTTCTGTGATAAACCGGCCTGCCAAGGAGTAGTAATCAAGCCCAGCATACAACTGGTTGAAAAATCTTGGGTGATCTGTAAATGGAAAACAAAATATTCACCTATGCAGTGGTGGAGTAACAACGGATCTTTCAGACAAGGAAAGCAGCCATGTAAGCATCAAGACAGATGTAATGTAATTCCATTTATAGGATATTCAGAATGGGCAAAGAAACCTACAGGACAGAGGTAAGGATTCTGATATGTTGGGAAGGCCTTGTCAACTGGGCAGGGATGGAAGAAGACTTTGGGTGCTGGAAATGGTCCTCAGGTTCATGTGGCAAGCACTTTATCAGCAGGAGCTGTCTTCCCAGCCCTCAAGCTCTTTTGCATAACTGTCTCCAAGGCAATGTTTCTCATTAAAACTGGAGCACTCAAGACCTTTGCTTTAACCTCTGCTCTCTCCAGCAGTCCACACCCACGCGGTGCCCTGGAGAAACAGATCTTAGCATCGTTTTTCCAAGTGCCACAGCCTGCTGGTGTCTTCAGAGAGTATCGATGTTCATGCGCACTGCTCTCAACTTCAAATATGTTTCACAAGCAATGGGGTCCACCTCTAGAGACAGTGAGAAAATGGCCTTTTCAGTCCTTGGGCTGCAGAGCATGAGTGGCTTGAAGCAGATGGGGTGAGATGTGATTCATCCCCTGGCTCAGCTCAGACACTTCCAGATTCAACCTACTTCAAACGTGAGCTCCTTTAAGACTCCATCATGGAGTTAGAACTTCCTGCTTTTTTTTTATTCTTTCCTCTTTCCTCAATATAAAAGGACTCTAAAGGTCTTGGGCTTTCCACAGTGTGAATATTCACACCAAACACCAGGCTAACTGGCTTGACATTCTCAGTCATAAGAAACCCAGCATGACAAAGAACACAAAGGCAGGGGGCTCGTTCTAATTTAGGACATGTGAGGACCATGTTGGTTAGTGTTGTCTCAGTATATTACAGAATTTAATGGGTTTCTTTTTCTTTCTCTTTAAACCATGGGTTCAGTTAAAAAAAATCTAAGTAAATGTCTTTTCAGTTGAAACATGGAAAATTCTCTCTGATCTGGCAAAGACATGCAGACATTGCTACAAGTAATTTTAATAGGATTTTTTAAAGTTCTGTGTTAATTTATGATTGATTTCCATGGTAACATTATGGAAAATACCCAGTAAACTGAAAGAAAATTCTATTGCATTAAATGTCATTCTACACTTCTGACAGGCACTATAATAACGAGATAGGTATCTCTGCTTGTGAAATGCTGAGTTTTTGATACACGTACCAGACTTTCCCAAGGGAATCTAATCCAATTATTTTTAGCCAGGATTTTATGGTGTTTTTTCCACTAAGTTTAGCTCAGTGTCACAATTCACAAAGCATAATGCTTGTATAGATTAAGTGCCAGATTATCTTCACACCACAAGAGGACGTGTGTATTCTAGAAAGTTAGTGTGCCCCCTTTGAAACTTCTTCTCTGGGTGTATGTCCTATGGTGACAATCTGGCTAGTGACACACTATTACTGTGCTTAGTGAAAAGCCATAGTAGCGATGTCGTTCCTGAGAAAGTCACACCAAAACTTAACATGGATGTGTTTTTCTTGTTGACTTTAAAATTTTTTTGAGACAAGGTCTCATGTAGCCCAGGCTGGCCTAGAACTCACTCTGTAGCTGAAGATGACCTTGAATTTGTGACCCTATGGCCTCCACCTCCTAAATACTGAGATTACAGGTGTGCACTACCACATCTGCTTTGTGTGGTGCTAGAGACTGAGCCAGGGCTTCGTGCACGCTAGACAAGCACTCGACCAACTGAGCCACATCCCCAACCCTCCTATTTCTCTTACATCTGCCTGAAGGCTTTTACTTTTGATCTTGTCAGAGTTGATAAAATAATTAGGTAATTAGCAGTTGCCAAGAGTTAATCAGTGTCTTCTCAATAAATCTACTTCTGTTTACGCATTAAAGACATCTTTTTGAACTTCTTTCCAAATTTAAGCAATAATAAGTATGAATGGTAATAGATTGCCCCAGTTACAAATGGAGGATGAGAATTTCCCAGAAAGAGACTAATGTCTAACAGACTCCCCACCAATGTATCTTTGGCATTGACCTCAAATCTGTATTGGGATTAAAGGATGAATACAGAAATCAACATCAGAACCACAATTTGTTAGACCCAAGTTTTTTGTTCCACAGACATTTAGCATCTTCAGTTTTATTAAGAGGTGGTTATCTTAACTGGCTCAGCAATTAAGAGTACTGACTGCTCTTGCAGAAGACCCTGGTTTGAGTCCCAGCACTCACATGGTGGCTAACAACCATCTGTAACTCCAGTTCCAGGGGAATCCAACACCCTCTTCTGACCTCTGTGGGCACTAACACAAGTGCACTTATGTACATGCAGACAATACACTCATACACATAAAACAAAAATAATTAAGAATATTTTTAAGAAGTGAATATCAGAGATAGGTCAAGGACATGAACCCCACAATTCTTACTGGTTTTGACGCTGAAGCGAATGACCTCCTGGCAGAGTTTCAGCAGCTTGTCCTGTGGCTCACCCCTGTCCCTCATCTCCAAGTCAAGGAGCTGCCTCAGCTGTTCAGGGGGCTGCCACTCACACACCTGGGGATTGAGCAGCAGCACACCATTAGGAGAGCTCCCAGCAGCGCCCAGGTTGGGGGTGTTTGACGAGCCAGGGCTCTGTCCAAAGTTAGCTCCTAAGGACTAGGAGAGCTAGGGGTCAAACCTGCTATGGCTTCAGGCCAGCAGGAAGGAAGCTAGGAGAGCAGAGTGGATCCCTCTGGGACTAGAGAGGTCCATTTAGATCTCCTAGGAAAAACAGCACCAGACCAGTGCCACAAGGTAAGAGCTAAGAGCAGAGTGAGTCAGGCAGGGGTTAGGGGGCAGTAACAGGGCACTCTGGGGTAAGTGGCAGAGGCTGGAAAGGAAGGCAGCCTGTAGGAAGGAAAAGCAACGGACCACAGAGGAGACAGAGCACATGTGAGAAGTTATGGAACCTTAATACAACTAGAACATAGATTTCCAGGAAGAGAAAAGCAATAAGCAAAGCAAGGCACTGATATACCTTCCTCAGAGCTCTCCTTCTGTTCCCTTCCCCCACAGGATCTGCCAGCCCTGTTGCTAGAGCAGCCCTCTCTCCTGCTCTCTCTCCCTCTCCCTCTCCCTCTCCTTCTCCCTCTCCCTCTCTCCCTCTCCCCCTCTCCCTCTGCTTCTCCCTCTCTCCCTCTCCCTCTCCCTCTCCTTCTCCCTCTCGCTCTCTCTCTCTCCCCCTCTCCCTCTGCTTCTCCCTCTCTCCCTCTCCCTCTCCCTCTCCTTCTCCCTCTCGCTCTCTCTCTCTCCCCCTCTCCCTCTGCTTCTCCCTCTCTCCCTCTCCCTCTCCCTCTCTCTCCCTCCCCTTCTCCCCCTCTCCCTCTGTCCCTCCCCTTCTCCCCCTCTCCCTCTGTCCCTCTCCTTCTCCCTCTCTCCCTCTCACCCTCAAGCCATAGCCACTCCTTCTCACTCTCCATTTCCATCAAGGTCAAAGTGGAACTTCTTTCAAGGACACAAAACCATTCTACTTTGTTGGCTTCTCTGTCTGCGTGTCTGCTCCCATCTCATCTAGCATCCCACATCCTGGCTGACTCACCCCCTTGTTCCTTGGACATACCAGACATCCCATCACTGGGTGTCCGCATAGCTATGCCCTCTACTTGGGATGTGTCTCCCTCACCCACTTATCTTCATAGTGAAGTCCCTACTTTTTGCAAAGATTTGCTCAAATATTTCCATTTCTCAATGACAGCAACCCTTGAGTCTCTTGCTTAAATTTCCACCTATCCAAGATGCAATCACTATTAATACCCCCAACGCCCTCCTGTCTTCTATCTATAGCAAGTATCACCAAGCTATTTATTCATCTTCTATGTCCTATATAATCTCTATAAGAGCCGAGCTTGGTCATTTAAGGACCCTGAATGCCTGACACAGAACTTGCTGCTTTATAGCTGCTTGGTAAAGATGCATCAGGACACAGGTTTTCTGACTGTAATGGGTTGCAGAAGGGATTGTTGAGGAGAAGGAGGGGAAGATGAGGCTCAAGTATAATCTAAGGTATTCAATGACTATGTGTTGACTAAATGGGGAGATAAAGCTAGCTCAAGGTGGGCTTTATGGAGCACATTGAAATGTTCAGGATGGGCAGGAAAGGGCTATAGCTACATTTTAGATAATATCTTTGGTTGCTGTGTCAGGAGCCCAAGGAAAAATAAAACGGGAAGGAAAAGCAATCGCTCACAGAGCAGATAGTGGCAGTCTGTATGAGGGAAGACTGTGTAAACATAAGGCTTATACTTTCCAGATGGATTTAAAATGCAGAATCAACAGAGCTTAGAAATAAATTAAATGTTGAACTTGAGAAAAAGGGGTGTGCTAAGGATGAACCTGGGGTGTCTATCTAGGTCACAGGATATCATGGTGGTAGTGGGTTCCAGAAGGACCTGATAGGGACAATGAGACATGAGTATGCCTAGCCTAAGTCATCTTTAGAACAGCTGACATGAATGTACCCATCAATCTGAGGCTCTTATGAAGGATCAGGGACAGCGTACTAGGCCTCCTGTGATGACTGATGTATCAGGGGACAGATGTCACAGCTCTTTAGCAGAGAGAGGACAGGAGCCCTGGGAAATGTCCACACTTAAGGAATGGCATGGCAGGGACAGCCCATGTTAGGGAGGGTGACAACAGGAGAAGGGAGACCGCTAGGATGGTTTAGTGGGACCCAAGACAAGAACAGAGTTTTCTAGGGAGAAGATTCCACTGCCAAATGATGGTGAGAAGACAAGTTAGATAAAGACCAAGAAGCTCTCCTGGGAGTCATCACCAGGGAGGTGTTCTTGGCAAGAGCAATGTGACTTGAGGGGTGGGGGTGGAGGCCAGATTGTGCTGGAGTGAGGAGGTAGGAGGTGAAGAACAGAGGGAGGGACTGCAGACATCTTTAAAAAGCTTGGCTGTGGAGGGGAGGCAAGGCAAGAGACCGGGGAACAGCCAGGGGGGTGAGAAGCCAGGGAGGTGGGAAGTACAGGAGGAAATAGCAAGTTGTGTGAAAAGTGTGAAATTCAGCTCCCATCATGCATCCCTGGCAGACAGAGGTGAGTCAGAAGTGCCGGAGACCACCTACGGGGAACGACCACGGGCACACAAATGAGTCTCAAGTGAACTTTGATGAGGGAAAACTGCAAGTCTCAAAGGCTCCTTACGAAATGAATCAATGTACAAGGCTTCCTGAAGCAGGAGCTAGAGAGACAGAAAGAAGCGCAGTGGATTACAGGGGCTAGAGGGGCCGGGGGAGGGGCCAGGAGGGGCAAAGGAGAGTGTGGGGGTGTGGAACTGGTCTGTACCTTTGTTTTCTCCTTCTGCCTTTGTGTGTATATGTGGACACATATGTGCGGAGGTCAGAGGACAAGCTCAAGTTTCACTCCTCCGCTGTCCACATTACTGGTAGAGAACAAGGTCTCTCTATGGCCTGGAACTTGCTAATCAGGCTAGCCTGGCTGGCAGTAAGCTCCAGGGATCTTCCTGTCTCTGTCTCCCTTGAGCTGGGATTACAAGCATGAACCACCATGTCATTTCCTTTAATATGGAGTCTAGGGGTCAAACTCAGGCTCCCCTTTACTGACTTAGCTGTCCTAGCTACCACCCCACACCTCTCCCTACCACTCTGCTGCCTTTTAGAGACAGAGACTCACGTAGCCCAGGCTGGCCTTGAACTTGCTACATAGCTGAGGATGACCCCTCCACCTTCCAAGTGCTTAACTTATAATTGTTCTATATCTTTTTTGCTACCAGGCTTCTCAAATTGGCTAGAACTGTGCAGCCAAAGGAGTATCTTTTACTGAATATGTAACGTTACAATGCAGATTTTTCTAAGTGGCTGAAAACAAACTAGAAGTGACTATTGCCCAGTGCAGACCACCACTGCAGACCACCTTTGAAGGGTATCTTGTCGGGTCTCAGGAAAGGTAGACTAAGTTAGTTGTAGACAAATTTCACCTGCTGTCTCAACCCCACTCAGCTTTCACCCCAACTTTGCATGCATAGAAAGCTCACATACCCCCTATATTGTGGTCATCCTGGGGTTCCAACTAAGGATTGCACCTGTCCCTTAATTAGGGTCCTACATCCCCTTCTTGGCTAATCTCCCTTAGACATTCTGTGTCAGCCCTTCTTCCCAAGGGGACAAAGAGACCTACTGTTGTTCTGAGAGCATCTTTCACTAACACAATATTATTCCTGCTTCCTTTGCCATCATTAGACACCAGAGCCTCCACCCAACTTCTCTCTGCCCTCCACAATCATATTTAACCTTTGTACTCTTCCTCAAAGTTCCTGTACTTCTGTGAACGTCCAAAACGCCTGCTCCATCTCACAGCACTTACCACCCTCACTGGGACCGCCTTGTTCTTGTTACAAATGAAAATTTACCCTTCCACTTGGGTTCTAAATTCAGTTCAAAACCAGGTCTTTATCTTGTGCTTCTTTATTTCCTCGAGGGCTCAATTTAATGCCTCTAAAGTAGCTAGCATTCAGTTAATATTTAATTACTGAATGAAGGCCAATTAGAAATAAAAACTTAGCCAGGCATGGTAGCTAACACCTATAATCCCAGCACTCAAGGGGCTAAAGTAAGAGGATCAGTTGGAGGTCAGCCTGGGTTACATAGACCTTGTCTCAGAAAACAAATCCAACAGTCCAGCATGGATAGGGGAGGGGCACATGAGGCCCACCTCTAGTCCAGCTGGTACTGGCAGCTGATGGATGATCTCCAGGGAGGCAGTCTTTGGGTGGTTGCCCATGATCCAATGGATGACTGGCACTCCAACCAGCAGCGGTAACTGGACATGAAGCTGGGAGGAGGACACAGTGGAGGAGGTGTGGGAAGAGTTGGACGGTGTAGTGGGGGAGGAAAATGATCAAAATGCATTGTACATGTGTATGAAAACCCAAAGGACAAATGAATGTCAAAACATACAAGAATGAAAAGGAAATAATAAAAAATAAGCTTCGCCAGTGGAGAAGCAAGCACCTAAGCAAAGAGGATGCAAACTATTTCATAAAGAAATAAGGAAGAGATGAATATGTGATTATAAATATGTCCTCTGGATGGATAAGAACTACCACCATCAATTTTGCCTTGAACTTGTTCAAGAGATAGTGACATGCTCAGAGATCATGACAACCTACTTTGCTAGTTTTCTTATTAGTGGCCAACATTTCAGAATAAATACCATCACCTTCAAATTCTGTTACAAATGGCATTTACTTCCAGCTCACATAATTAGGGAAAAAATTCTCCCCTGCGTGTTCATTTGTGGTAATCCAATTCCAATAGGAAAAGTGATTGCAGTGATCAAAGACAATTTAGCAGGTTTTAGAGGCGTCTCGGGTGTGTGAAGGACAGGTTAAGAATGCAGATGCTGAAGCCCTTCTGCCTGGATTTTAGCCTTGGCTCTGACACTTGCTCGTATGTGACCTGGTCAAGATATGTGACCTCCACACACCTCACTTTCTCCCTCCTTTCTAAAACACTAACAGTTAACATACTTGCTTCTCTAAGACTTTTCTAAGGATTATTTGAGTATATGCATGTGTGTATGTGAATGCCTGTGAGTCTGTGTTCCTGTGCGTGCATATATATGTGCAGGTGCACATGTGTGCCTGTGCATGTGAAAGCCAGAGGACAGCCTCAGCTGTCATTCCTAAGGAGGTCCCATCCACTTTGTTTTCTCGAGACAGGATCTTTCATTGGCCTAGAGCTCACCTGAGGAAGCCAGGGTGGCTGGACAGGGAGTCCCACGGATCTGTCTACTTCCATCTCCTTGGGCTGATGTTATAAGTTCACACCATCGCACTGAGCTTTTGTATGTGGGAACTGGGGATGAAACTCGGGTCTTGATGCTTATGGCTCATTTCCTTTATAGAATAAGCTGTCTCCGCTAAAGCGGATACATGAAGGAACATTGCTTCTTGGTCTTTTCCCTTATCTTTCTCAGCTACTTCTCTCATACAAGCCAGGCCACCTGCCCAGGGACGGTGCCTCCCACAGCAAGCTAGGCCCTCCTACACCAATCGGCAGTTAAGAAAATATCCCACAGAAAACCCGATGGAGGAAATTCTTCAAATGAGGTTCCCGCTACTGGGTGTGTCATGTTGGCAATTAAAACTATTATATCCTCAGTCCCATGTGTAAAGATTAAATGTACAGTATACATGGCCTGGGCCTTCGAGCAGAGCCCAGTATGGAGTATGTTTACAGTAGATGCTGCCTGAAGGGAATCTAAGCTTCACTTAAGCCTCATTCTGAGCCTATATTTCCATCCTAGACCTAGTAATCAGTATCAGCCAGGAGTCAGATTTAATACCCCAAGAATTTTAGTCTGACCTCAGGCAAGCTTCTAAGGACTTTTAGATAAATTTGAAAAGTATTGCAGCTTTTTCCCCATTCTTCTTGATTTTCACTAGTGACATAAAGTACATGAGAAAACGGGAACACGTTTTCCTGTGGCGGAGTCCTTATAATCAAATTATTACGCAGGGCAGGGAAGGGGCTTCCTCCCTGTGCTTCATGGCCTTCTCCTCCAGTTAAGCCCTGGGGTCAATCTCCCAGTAAGTGAGAACCAACAGGAAAGAGCCAGTCCTTCAGGAAAGTAGGTGCCACATGGTGGCCAGCGAGGGAGGTGGCCCCAACTATGGCATCAGACATCCCCAGGAGGCAATGCTCTGGAGGAGTCAAACCTTGGACGTCAAGGGCTCTTAGATTGAGCCACATAGATGTGGGAAATTGTTATCCTTCCCATTCTTGGGGATTTTTAATCTCTCTCTCTCTCTCTCCCTCTCTCCCCCACCCCCATGATGAATGCCAGCATGGCATGCTTATACCATATATGACAAAGCCCATGTGTGAAGATCAGGGAGGACAACTTCGGGTCTCTATCCTCACTTTTCACGTTGCTTGACATGGGCTCTGTTTGTTATTTACCTCTGTGTATACTGAGCTAGCTGGCCTTTGGGTTTCCAGGGACTCTCCTGTCCTGCTCATCTTGCTATAGGAGCAATGGGATTCCAGGTGTGTGTGTTACTGTGCACAATTTTACATGGGTTCTGGGGTTCCAAACTCGGGTCTTCATGCTTTCATGGCAAAGACTCCACCCACTGAGCCGCTGCCCCAACCCCCACTAGTATTATGGGTTTTCTTTTTACCTTTTCATTGACGTCTGTGGCTTTCAAAACTACTTCTTCCATTATTAGCCTACAGGTTTCTTCAACAAATTTTTCTCCCGCTTTCACGTCTGTTTGGGGGCCATTCAGTACAACCCCATCCACAAGAACAGGGCTCTTCTTACTTGGGGTCATCTCCTGCCGATCAGGGGCTCCTGGAAGCACACAGAGTGTTTGAGAGACTCTAATGAGTTCACACAACAGAATACAGGCAAAGAAATAAAACCAGTCACTCTACAAATGGCATTTGTTTATAACTTCCCTACATATCCATATTATTTGTTAAGCACATTTCACCCCACATCTGTCCACCTTTCCTTTCTTGTCCCCAACTTCCTGTTAACCCCCTTTGTCCCTTGGCATATTTTCTTTTTACATATGAAGGGACCATTTAGAATACTGATGTTCACAGTTGTTTATGGTGCCCCACAGCATGAGAGACTTAAGAAAATTTCACAAAGCTCTTGATTTGTAAAGTAAGAAAAGCCATCTTACGGCATGTGTTCCTCTGTGTTGGGCTGTGTTAGCTCCTGGAGTGGAGGGCCACTGGTTCAGTGTCACATCAGGACTGGCTGGGAAGGTTGTCACTGTGCACATGCTGAATGGTGAAACTGAAAACCAATTCTACTCCCTTGCCAGAGAGATGTTTTACAAGACAAGCACTGCTCAAAGACAGTGAGTGACTTTTGCACAGAACAGGCTCCATTCCTTAGATTCACCCCTGCTCCCACCTCAGCAAAACAGAGAGATAGAGATAAGGAGTTAGATGTCTATTTGGGGAAAGAGAAGGGGAAATACCTCTTCTAATCCCACTGGAAGTTAACACTGCTTCTATGTCATAAGCTTCATTTCTGTTTGTTTGTTTGCTTGCTTGCTTATTTGTTCGTTTTGAGACAAGTTGGCCTCCACCTTGCTATATAGCCAAGGATGACTTTGAACTCCTGATCCTCCAGCCTCCACCATCCAAGTGCTGAGATTAGACGTGCATACCCCCATGCCTGGTTTATGCTGTGCTATAGATCTGACTCAGGGCTTCATGCATGCTGGGTGCATACACTACTAATTAAGCTACATCCCCAGCCCTTGCCCTCTTGGAATTTACAGCATGTATTTGTTCATAACTTCAGATTCTACTCCATCAAGCAGCAAGATCACACAACTGAGTCAAAATTCTCCATCCTTCTTTCCTTTTATAAGCTTAGCATCTCTCAGTCCTAGGAAGAAGCACTGTGTGGGAATACAGACAATGGAACCCAGCCACACACAAATTGTTTTCCCACAGAAAGCAAGAATACACTCCTAAAATGGAATATCAAATAGAATTTTATATTTATAAAAATCCTATATTTGATGTGTCTGAATCACAGAAGAAGCCGAGGGGTCATCTGGGTACCTTCAAGAAAGCAAACACAGAAATCTTCAAAGGCAGAGAACTTGTCGTCTCCTTCTTGAAGGACAGGCCTCACCCACGTGTCTCTCTAAATGGAAATGCCCTCTTCCTTCAGGTGCAGGTGGTTCACTGGCAGTTTCCCTATGAGCTAAATTTCAAAGTCTACACAAAAGTAAGTTCCTGTCTTTCAAAGACTGTCTTCTTCAGCATGTGGGCATGCCCAGAGGTCTGGGAAAGTCCCATAGCTCATCCAACTCACTCCTATAAGCACATCAAACACACGTGAAAAAGACCTGAGGTGTCTCATGACTGTAATTCCAGCACTTTGGGAGTCTGAGGCAGGGGGATTGACAGGAATTTGAGGTCAACTTGGGCTACATAGTGAATTTCAAATCAGCTCCAACTAGAAAATGAAACTATATCAAAGATAAAAAGGAAGGACAGACAGAGACACAGGGAGACAGAGACAGAGAGCAAAGTGTAATAAAGAAAGAGACAGAAAGAGAGAGGGAAGGAAGGGAGGAGGGAGGGAAGAAAAGATCTTTCTAAACACAAGCAAAGACCTACTGCATGAACATACAATGTCCTGTCATTTAAGCTTAATCATATTTTCCTTTTCAGCCACTCTTAAGGAAGACTAAATGATACAAATATGCCATTCATCCTAATTTCATATTTAAAGACTACTGGCTAAATGGCTCTCTGATTCAGAGGCACTGTGCTGTCCTTCAAATCCCTCCCTACGTTCACAGCCCAATCCCTCAGAAAGGATAACAAGAAGCACCCAGAACAAAGGCTCCTGCCGCCCTGTCTGCGGTGCCTTCAGCCTCTCATGGTGCAGTTCCAGTCCAGGCAGAAGGCAGGAGCTGAACACGCTCAGGACTACACAGCTGGACGAGCAACTAAAGGCTGAAAGCCAACCTAGAAATCTATATCTAAGAGGGAGGTTTGCTACTTCCCCAAAATAGCCTTCCACAGAAACTGCTCCTGGAGCCTAACCCAGATAGCCAAACAGTACAAACAGTATCTGCTACAAGTTCTTATTCGATTCTCCGCCCCCCCCCTTATAATCCACAGGTTCAGTTAGCTGTGGAAATTTAAGAAACAATTTATGAAAGTATTTTTTAGTCCTGCACCTCTACAAAGCATCTTACATTTTAAATCCATCTAAACACATTGTTGGTCTATTTTCAAAACTATCTAATTATATTATTTTGGAATATTTCTATGCTTTGCGAAGGATCAAACAATATTCATATTTATTTATTTATTTTTTATGCCTCAGACAAATTTCTTCTGAAAATTAAATATTCTAGTAAAGTTCTGTGGCTTGCTAAACCCTTTAACACTATTGCTGATAAAGATATCAGATGCATATGTCTTGGGCAGATGTCCCGAGTTTGGGACAGGCAGGGTCTGCAGTCCCCATGTCCACTTCCATTCCTTGGGAGGGGGTGTCCAGAGCCCAGGGATGGAGCTCAACTACTTTCCCATCCTCCAATTACAGTCCACTTCAAAGGGTGCAGTGAATGTAGGTTAGGGCAAAGCGAGGAAGCCCCAGTGGGGATCTTTTTCATGGAAATGCCTTGCATGAGAAGGAACTTCCCCCTCAAAAATAGTATTTTAGGTCTTAAAAATAAAATGGAAAAGAGGGCAATTATTCCAGAAAGCCTGGTTGTGTCAGAAGGCAGTATGCTGTTATTAAACACACAAAATGTGAGCTTTTTTTTGAACCTCATTAGTGGGATTTCAGATTTCTATTGCCCAGGGATTAACAGTAGCTTTTACCTCCCTCTCTCTCTCTCTCTCTCTCTCTCTCTCTCTCTTTCTCTCTCTCATAAAAATGTCAAACATCCATTTCCAACCAGAATAATAGTAAGATTTAAATTATCACTATCTTCATAACTATTGATTGAAGAAACTCTGTAATTCATCAAATTATTTAGGAGAAAATATTGTAAGAAACCCAAAAAGAACAGGGTCTAGCCTGCTCCTCTCTCCTCCATAGCTGCATCTTATCCTGTTAGAAGTTGAGACAGTGGGTTTTTGCATTTGTCCAGGATGGAAATGCCACCCCCACCCCACCCAGATGGCTTATATGGGACTTTCTTACTCATTGTGACCATTAATTAGATGTTAATTAAAAGTTTCAAGACAGAGGGGTCTTCCATGAAGAACTTATCACCACAACACTTCCGCCTTAGTCCTGACTACCATCAAGTGCTTGGATCAACACTGTAGCTTCCCAATCAAACCCAACTCTGTGACTGTTCTCCACACAGCAGCCCCCACATTCCTGTGAGGAGACAGGTAACACCATGCAATAATTTCTCTGCTCAGACAGACGTTCAGGACTTGTTATCCCATCAAAGTCAGTGACGTGCTCACAGTGACCTCCCTGACCCCACACGATCCCTGTCCTGTTGTTTCTTAGTTTCAAGCTTCACCTATCATTATTATTTTCCATGCTAAGCCAGCTCATCACCTTTGGCCCCTTCACTGCCCCTCTAGTCTTCCCTTGAATGTCAGTTTCTCACAGAGGTAGCCCTAGATGACATAGCAACCACCTCTCTGTGGTCTTTCTCTTCCTGGACTCCAGGGTAGTGATGACCCTGCAACCTACAAAACCTACCTGTGAAGACTTTCGTGTGGCTTCCTTCTGGGCCCTCTCTTTATCCCTTCAGAAGTCCTTAGATCTCTCTAATCCAGTCTGAGTCCTGGACTTACATTCACTTCTGCTTCACGTCTGAATTTCCACCAGCTCCCCAACTTCACACCTTCCAACGCCCACATAAACTCCACACTTTTAGGTCAGACTGATATACAGCTCTCCTTGTTTAACTGACAAACAACAAATCCAACTTGAAGTCCTGCTTCAGGTAGAGTATCTTCTCCTTTGATAAAAGATCAAATGCACCAATGCAAGGAAGTCTTAAAACAGCCCCCGGTATATAATGGGCACTCAGTGAATGCTAACTGATAGAAGCTGTCTCAATAAATACAAGTCAATAGACGAGTAATAGTATTTATTACTAGACCAGCAATAGTATTTACTAAGCCCATAGATATGTAAGAGAAATTTACATGGGATAGTAAGCTGTGACAGTGGGAGGGGTCTTCTCAGAGTGTGAGGAGTGTAACCCAAAGTCCGGTTAGGTATCCACCCTGGATGAGCGTCAGGAGAGGCTCCAATGGCAGAGGCTGTGGATGGAGGAAAGCACAGTACCCTCTCAGGGCACAAGATGGCAGATGAGTTGCTCCAGCCACACAGCACAGGCAGCTGTGCACAAATGTCTCCTTGCACTTCCTGCTTGGTCGTCCGTGCAGAGGCTTGGTTTCTCATTCTAGATTGTGAACTTCCACAGGGCAAAGATCCACGTGTGATGTTGCTGTGCATTCCAGGAACAGAGTTCAGACGCTGAGAACTCGTCACTCTAAGACAGTCTCAAATGTGTATGCTATTTACATGCAAAATATTGCATTTGAGTCCTTCTCCCGGCATGTGACACTGGGTACTTTCTTCAGCAGACATTCACCCCTTGGGAGCTGCAGAGCGTGGATGATGGAACCTAAGTCTAATCCTCCTTGCTGCCATTGTTAACTCCCTCCTTCCAACAATGCTTAGGGACTAATTGACTGAGAATTACCTTGGAAATCATCTTACCTAACCTTTTTGGAAAATCCAGTCCCTTCTACAACCCAGTAGGCTTGACAGCCAGAGAGCAGAGCTCTCCTCTTAGTTACCTCCAAGC